AAAATTTAAATATTATTATTTATATATAATTAAATTAATTTAAATTAACTTATTTCTTTTAGTTTACAAGCTTTAATTAACATATCATATGTTAAATTCTATTGTGTTTTTTAATATCCAATATAACTATTTTATTAAATATTCCAGCTATTTGACATTGGATAAAAAATTTTTCTTGTTATGGTGATGCTCTAATTTTAAAAATAAGTTTATAAAGTTAAAAATAAATTAATTTATTAATAATTATAATTTCTTTAGTTATTTAAATAAAAACAATATTAAATTTACTTTAAATAAAAGACTAGCAATTATATTATTATTGTCTTATAATATATTGCTATCATCTTGTAATATATTACTATTATCTTAAATAATATTATTCTTAACATTTAATGTTTGTAATATTTTTTGAATTGTCAAATTAATAACATATATAAGACATTATACATGTTGATTGTTGGCATTAAATTTAATATCATTTTTTTTTAATGTTTTTTCAATCACTTTAAGAAATATTATATTGTTGCTTGTATTATCGGTTATTATACTAAAAATATATTTAAAAAATTTAATAAATAAATATTTGTTTATTTGAATATAAAATATAACTTACTTTATTTAAAAAATTATATTCATTAAGACTTTTTAAAAAATCTTCAACAATATTATTACTTAAATATGGTTTTTTGAGTTTAATAAAATCCAAAAGTAAATTTTTTAATTTCCAATCCTCAAAAATCCAGTGTACTGTAATTTTCAAAAAAGACAAATTATTTGATAAGATTCAAACATCAACAGTAAAAGAAATTTTACTTGATATTTTCTATAAAAAATATAAATATAAATATAATTTCAATAAATTTTTTTTTATTAAATATAATATAATTATCTGTAAAAATTGTATTTTTTTTTTATTTTCATTAAAAGATATTATTATATTATTTTTAACTATATTGGTTGAAGGAACTGAAACTTTATTTCATAAAATAGATATTATATTTTTAAAATTAGAAGATTCAACACTTGTAAAAGAAAGATTGTTAATTACAATCCATTTTATAAGCAATTGTCAAAAATTTCTACACTATATATCTAAAAATAAATAAAATTTTTTTAATTTGAAATTAAATAAAATATTTAATATAACTTATTGAAACTAATTTATTTTATATTGTTTTTTCTAATGTTAATTGCTGTTTGTTTTCTTTAAGTCACAAAGAATGTTTATTTTTAAAATGTTTGATTATATCAGTAGTACTGTCTTTATTTGATTGAATAAATTGATTACAATAATTGTATTGAAGTTTTTGTGAATTTTCATTAAAAATAAAATAGGTTCAGATAAAGTTTCAATATTTTTTAGAACTGCTATTTGTTGAAGTACTAGCTATTTTGGTATCTAACATTTCATTACTATCAAAACTATTTTAAAATTCTTTATATTCAAAATTTATAAAAGTGATTTTTCTGGAAACTCAATATAAGTGTTGAATTTTTTCATTTTAAAAAAAATAGTTAATAACAATAAAATAATTTTTTTTATGATATATTTATATATTAATAATTTGATATAACTTCTATTGAAAATTTTTACTTAATATTTATTGTTATTTTTAGAAAATACCAAAACTAATCAATACTTTATTAATTAATACTTTATCGATTGATATTTTTAAAAAGTATCAAAACTGATCAGTATTTTACTGAAAATTTCAGTTTGATATTTAAACTTAAAAATTAATACCAATACTAATTAGAATCCTAGTTTATTATATGTCAAATGATTAATGAGTGACATATTGCTGAATAATCCAATTTTAACCAATATACTGTAAGTGTTGTCTCATTAGCTTGCATCATATTTTAAATATTTTAAATAATAATCTTTTAGCTTAAATATAAAAGATCTTGATGGTTTTCGAGCTTATTTTCTATTTTGTAACTTCTTCTTTTTCTATAAACCTATACTTAAGTTAATTAGCTCTTTAACCAATTCAATTTTTTTTTCATTACTAAATAATTTCTTTTTAATTTGACATCTTGGAGCTGGAGTATTTGAGGATCTATTTTTTTATAATCTTTTCTTGTAGAATTGACTATATCTTTTTTCTTTTCATTCTTATCTCTTTATATATTAGTAAATGATTTAATATTTCTTCATCTGCCTTATAAAATATACATTTTATATCTCTACTATAATTTGTTTTATTATGTTTTAAAAGATTGTTTAGAGTAAAAGCTCATTATATATTAATTTAATCTTAAATGTTCTATTTTTTATTTGTCTAAATGAGATATATAATATATCTTTGCAATGCTTTCAAAATCCTTTTCAATCAATGTTTTCTGAATTTTGAATCTTCTCCTTCAATTTAACTTGAATTCTGTTTTGATTAGTTCATTGTATTAGAATTTTTCTTTTATGCAACTCTTTGATAAATAGTCTTATCGAAGTATTTATTGAAATATTATTTCAGAAGGAAGTTGAAATTGGTAGGATTTTTGATAATTCAATTCAATGAATTTCTTGCTCTTCTTTGGCTAATTTGGCTAGCCAGTTAATTTAATTATTAGTTGCATCTTGACTGTGAGCTTTAATATTGTTAATTTAATTTAAATTTCTTTTCTAATTATTGTATCAAATATGTATAACCAAAGTTGTCAATTGGAAATCTTTATTTTTTTATAAATTATATTCTTTGAGTAAAAAGTTTTCAGTTTCTGATATATATTGATACAGTTGATACTATTAGTTTGAATCTTCCCTTTGCTTTGTTTAATACTGTTAAAATTGTTAAAAAAATTGTTACTAGTTTAGCTCTTGCCAATAAAGGCCAGTTGTTCACTTCAATTTGAAAGTTTTTTCCTGGATTTGATCTCTTGGTTTGTAACCAGGCTACACAATTTTGATTATTTGATCTTGTGTTTTATATACCAATCCATATATATAGAATTTATATATATCTTTATACTAATCATACTCTTTTTCAAATGCATACAGTTACCATAAAAGGAAACACAACAGCGAAAGGAAAATGAGTGCAAACAGGAGTCTTAGAAGCTTCAAGCTGACTGTCAGGCCCAACTACAACCTAGGAGACATGTCCAAGGGGAGAAACAACATGAAAAGTAGAGAAAATACACCATACTCGGTCCCAAAACCCACCAAAAAACAGGAAAAAGTTGAAATGGAGGCAATATCTCAAATCCCGACACCACCGTCCAAGACTGCAGCCCAACAAAAACAAGCAACAGTAATAGCACAAAGTAAAAAAACAAGTCATGAAAACATATGGAGCCAAATGATGGAAGAAGAGTTAGGTGAAACATCCACCAGCATGGAAACCCATCTTGAAGAGGAAACACACGAAGAGCCACAGCAGACCAGCAAACAACAAGCATTGGAGAGACATCAAACATCATCCTTTGGGGGACATGCCCGCATCGATGATAGCGATGAAGACATGTACGCATCAGAATCAGAAAACCATGGCCATCAGAAACATGAAAATGAATGGCAAACAGTCAACAAAGGAAAGGGAAAGGTGGAAAGAGCAAGCAGTAAGCCTAGACCCTGCTCCCCTTTCAATCGCATGGTGAGATATGGCAGAAAAAGAAGCAAAATCAGAATCCCAGCGGCAAAAGTTCCTGGCATCACTTTCTGGCAGAAAATACAATATGTTACCAAAGCCCTAGAAGCACCCGAAGGCCTCCTTGCAATCCGCAAAGAGGGAAAAAAAGATGAAGAGTCGATTGTAGCTATTTTTGGAGATCAGCAAGCCGCAGAAAGAGCAAGCACAATCAAGTTATCAGGTTTGATAAACAAGTACATGGAACACATGCCAGACACCAACTCCTACACAAATAAGGAAAACAGTATCAGAGTATGGGATATCCCTTTGGATGCCAAACCCATAGACGTACAACAAACCTTCTCTAGATTTGGACAGGTCACTGATATCAGTATGAGTATCCAGCGCATGTGGCAAATGGCCATAGTCACCTTCCAAGAAAGAAGCACCAAAAAAAAACTAGTCAACATGTGGAGCACACCCTTTAAAGCAGATTCAGTCAGAATCTTCGATGAACAATGGAGCCTTGAGGAAATGAAAGCCAGGGGCAACATTGCTGCCAAACTGGTCAATCTTCCCCCAAATACAACAGCATTCGACCTGCGTGTCATCTGTCAACAAATCAAAGCCAAAACCTGTTACATTCCCAGAACAGGGAGTTATCACCGTAAAAAAGTAGCAATCATCAGCTTCGAAAGCCAACAACACCTAGAGGAAGCAGTAACACAAGATTTCATCCTGGGTGAAACACAAATCACATGGGCCCAGATCGACACAAAGACCTGCGCCATATGTGACGCGCATACACACTTAGCAGTTGATTGTTCAAGCAAACAAAGATGACAACAGTGGAAGAAATATAACAAAGAACAAGCAGACAAGTTTGGCAAATTATATCAGAAATTCAAACTAGCAAAAACAACAAACATCAGAAGAACTATGGATACAATCGCAAAGGGAAAAAGAAACAGCAAGCCTGGATCGTATGCAGCAGCTTTAAAAACAGCAGAAGCACATACGACACAACATATATAAGATCCAAGCAACCTGCAACAAGTTGTGGACATCCTCAAACAACTCCAGCAAGACATTAAAGAAATCAAAGAACAATTAACAGATATGGATGAAAGAATTACAAATCTCGAATATTACGAAGAAGATGGGTTGGGAGCAATGGAAGAAACAGAAGCAACCCCAGATTAAAGTATAAACAATGGCTCCACAGAAGAAGCACAAAGAAACCAGGTGAACAATAGAAACGAAATTCAAGACCTGCAAGCCCAACAGAAACAGATCCATGTTACTATCCAACATACCAACCAAACGATGAACAATCTTATGAATACCATTCACAATCTTATCCCTGGAAACACAAACACCATAACCAATCTTAATTAATGGAAAACAATCCAAGCACCAGCACAGAGGCGTATGAGATCACTGACAATTTGTCAAACTTTTATAATTCGATAGACAACTACCCAGAAGAAGATACACAAGTACTGGAGGAGATACAAGAACACAACACACAAGACACTAATCATACAGCAGACACAGACACGACCAACAACATCAGCAACAACATTCCCTTTCAAGAATACCCAACAGAAACACAAAAACACCAAAGAAGACCACAAAAAATATCCACCACAACATCACATATGCAATTTACTCCTGTATCACAAAATAACGAACACAGTGGCATACAAAGACATGAGCCAGAAACACAACCATGGAAGATCTGGAAAATAGCAACACACAATGTCAGAGGATTCAATGACCCCACCAAAAGGGCAATATGGCTTACATACTTCAACGAAGAAGAAATTGATATCACAATAATCACAGAGACACAAGTCACATCAGATATATCGAAACACTGGAAGATGGAAGGATACCACACTACATGGAGCAACGGGAAAAAGGGTGGAGGAATCATGATAATGATTAAAGAAAACATTGCAAATCACATCAGCAACATCGAAACATACCAAGGAAGAAGTATATGCATAGACCTTAATTACAAAAACTACAAACACATTAGTATAATCGGAGTATACATACCAAGCAAAAGTAATCCAGAACATCACTCCACATCAAAATAGATCCAAGACAAGATCTGGGCCAGACATCATAAAAACTGATACATCATCACTGCAGGAGACTTCAATGCCCTACACAATCCAAAAATCGACAAAAGACCAGCGAGCAACAGCCAAAGACCAACAGCCCACATACTTCAAACCCTAATCCAATTAGATCACATTGACACCTTTCGTGGAATATGGCCAAACAGAACCCGGTTCACTTGGACAAACATGTGCACTACACAATCTCGAATTGATTATATATGGATGTCATCCAACAACAGCTGGAACCTAATCAATGCAGAAATCGAATCTTCAAACATGCTAACTAATAGTGACCATGACATTGCCACATGCAGAATTGAAATAACAGAAGTCACGACACAACAACAGAAGATCAGAATCCTTAAACATAGCAATATCTTCGACACAAAAAATACCAATAGCAAACAATAGGAAAAATACAAACAACAGGTAGAAGCTATCATCACGGAACAAAACCAAAAGCACAACATAGGAGAATATGGATCCAACAAAACATGGAACCTTACATGGGACACTATCTGCAAGGCGGCACATCAAAATATCAAGAAAAGGAAAAGACATAAAAAACGTATAGATCTAAACCCCCATCACAAACAAAGCATGCACACACAAATCATTGATCTCAGAAAGCTCAACACATGGGCTAGAAAATTTTTCATTCTTAACCAACGAACAAATATTATCCAAAACAATATCATCAACATAATCAGGAAAATCAATACATCAGAGCAACACATCAAAACACCTCCTTGGGAAGAAACAGATCCGCAATCAGAGGAAGTTAAAAAGTGGATAAAAGAAATCAAACAAACATATAGCATCACCAAAAAAGTATTAAAGGAGAAAGACCGCCACATCATAGCCGAGCGAATAAGAAAACATATAGAAAATCGAATTACAAACTTCACAAATAACAAACGGAAAATGATAAACTTTATCCTAAACAAAAAATCTAGCCATATTACAATGAACAAAATCATCACCAAAGAGCCAGAACTTACGGTCATTACAGAACCAGAAGAAATTAAGAACCTAGTGGAGCAACACTTCCAACTCAATGAGGTAACAAGGAAAAGTACAAAACAGCCGGAATGGGAGGTATGGGAACAAGAATATAGACCCAAAGAAGAAATCACAGAAGGCTGGTATCAAAAAACAAACTCAATTATCCAAGTATCTGAAGTCCAGGCTGTAATAAAGAAGATGTCCAACAACTCTGCACCAGGAAAATCAGGAATCAGTTATCCGATGCTCAAGAATCTTGGCGAACAAGCACTTACTCGAATAACCCAACTATTTAACAAGATTATACTCACAGGCGAAATACCAAAAAAATGGCAACAAAACATCATACATTCCATCCCAAAGAAAATCGACTGGCAACACCAACTCAATTTTACCTGTCCAATCACATTGCTGGAGACAATTAAAAAAATTTTCACAAAGATAATTAACAATAGACTCACACAAATCTTTACAAAACACAAAATACTGTCAGATCGAAACTGGGCAGGACTCCCAGAGGGAGGCACACAAGAACCG